CGACCACGCCGACAAGACTGCATGCACATTTGTGCGTTCTGGACCATACGTCATTGCACAAGAATGAGGGAGAGGTGTGAGAGTGTGTGCGTGCGTACTCAGTTTGTGTTTGGAAACTCTCAAGCGACTGTGTTTGTTCCACGTGCATGGACGGATTTGTCACAAATGGTCACTCATCTGACATTGATCTGTGTAAGGGTGATTGTGAGGAAGCTTCTGCTTCTTATTCTGCTGTCTGTGTAAAAATATAATACCAATTGTCCCCTTAATGATGCCACCGTCAGGTGACCCAGCAAGATTCATTGTGCAGGATGAATGGTCACCATGGCTGGTGCAGGTAAACTGCTTTCCAGCCACTGTGCTATGAATTAAGCAAACCCAACAACACCTAGCATATTACAGAAGTCTAAAAAGCTGAAACGACACTCTGCTGACAGAGATCATTTGTAGTCACTATTCCTAGAAATTGCAGCTGGGCGTGCTGATCGAGCTGACAAAGGGAACGGAGAGGCGTCTCCTTAAGCTGCTTTGCATAAAATATCACTAGTCTGCATGAATGGTGTTGTTGTGCACCCCCATTAAAGGCAGGCAGCATTTATTTGTACAGCCGGCTCAGGGCGCTCTGAAGGAACCGATTTGCAGAAAGCATGAAATAAAGAACCTTTAACAGCAGTTTTAAAGGATACTAAAACAAATACGAGCACAAAGAATTAAATAGAAAACTGCAGGATTGTATTGCAAGGTTGATAATGGTCTAAGTACAGTTTGACATTTTAGGAGACTGGCACATTCCCCATCTTACAGCAAGTAAAACAGGAAAATCAATACCCCTCCATTCTTTACAGTAAATATCAATCATCTGCCAGGCTGAAAGTGGAAACATGGAAACATTTAGCCTTTTTTAATACATTAAATCAGTCTTTGTACTAAATTAATAAGCTCCTGCTTAAACCCACATATTTACACTTAAAATAAGTGTAACTTTAGCTAAAGTGCAAGCTAAGTTGCATTGGCTAAATGTGAAGGTGGCCTGTGCTGGAGGTAAAGCTTTATTTCTAATTCTCTCTGTGTGATGAGTCATGTTCGCCCATTTGTCACTGCAGCACTATTTTTGTATAAAGCCTCACTTTCAGATCCACTCCACTTTCTGTTAAGTTACTCCAATGATAAAAACACAGCACTTTCCAAAACCCTTTATTCCTAAATAAGAGTTTTATTGTGAACCATCTGAAGGAGTAGGCAACCATATGTGACGACATCTGGCTGGTATTAATGGATGACAAACCGAAATGGATCAGAATCAACAAATTAAACATGACAAAAAGCAACAATATGATTGTACCGTTGGATTTTTTATTTTTTTTTATTGGAATGCACATTTTATGACAGGCACTTTGTTTTTTTCCCGGAGGCTGGTCATTATTGGAGACCAGGCTATTAACTGACCACAGTGCATTTGGGGAAATATAATAGCTGCTATAATTGGATTCGTGTGGCTTTAAAATTTAATAGCAATACAATAATATGAGCCATTATTTTCCATCAATAAAAACATTATACTTTTTGACGGATAAATATTGCATTTGTTCCCTTACGGCAGAGAGCAGTATCATTTACTGCAGTATCTTTGTTAATACTTTCCACAATGACGTCCCCTGTTTCCTTAATGACTAGTTCTGACACCTCAGGATAGATCACTAAAGATGTGGTTTCACAACCATTAGAACAGTTTCTGGGGGGGTTTAAGGGTAGCTGCACAAGCTAACTTCTTCTGATGCGCACCTACTCATTTTGTTCTACAAGCAGGCCTGAAAGATGTTCATAAAAGAGCTTCAAAGGTTACTCCTAGTAGGTTTTCAAAGGGTGAAGAGTTAAATAGCATTTTTATAGGGAATATTAATTATGCATTTACAAGAAAAAGAAATGCAGTTTTTAGCTTTTCTGGAGCCCTGAATACAGCCTGCAGGTTTTCCACTCAGGTTTCAGGGTACAGCTAGTCTCTGGCTACGTCCACACTAATGCGTTTTCGTTTGAAAATGCATAGTTTTCTCTACGTTTTGGCCTCCCGTCCACACAGAGACGGCGTTTTCCCCAAGGAAAAACGTAGCGTTTTCCCCAAGGAAAAACGTAGCGTTTTCCCCAAGGAAAAACGTAGCGTTTTCCCCAAGGAAAAACGTAGCGTTTTCAAAACCCTCTCAAAAATGCATACATTTCAAAATGGAGCTTTCCTGTTGCAGTGTGGACACTCGAAAACGATGACGCATTTTAGTCATGTGATGCAGTCATGTGACCAATTAAACAAAGATAGCGGAGTGCATTATACAGCAGTTGTTTTGTTTGCTCTCAATTTTGACAGCCCTAAAACAGATTAATATCAGTCTGTACATGCTCCAAATAGCTTTTCTTCAAATTCTTTAATTCTCACTCGCTTGGCAACTTTGTACTTTTGTGTTACTCGCAGCAACAACTCCACCTCATTGTTAGTCAATTTAAAAAACTCGGTGCTTTTCCTCGACATTTTGCCGCGATGTTTCAACGAGCCCGAAAGTAAATAAACGGCAGACAGAAACGAGGCAGGCCGAATCTTCTTGCGTTTCATGCATGTGCAGTACTGGAATGTTAGAGTTTTCTGCCGTTTCAATGTGGACGCACAACTCTGTGAAAATGACTGAAAACGCTAGTGTGGACGCGGAGCGTTTTCAGACGAAAACGCCGTTTTCAAATCTATCCGGGCTAGTGTGGACGTAGTCTCTGTGTCACCTGAGAGGTCAATAACAGGGCAAAAAAGCCAAAGTAGCTTCAATTCTGTGAATGGCATAAGATATTTGCAATTTACCTGGATTGTGGCAGCTCGATAGCCTGAAGAGAGAATTCATATAGACTGGTTTTAGTGTGTAAATACATCTGCAATGGCAAAAACATAGGCATTTTGTTTTAAAACACAGAGAGGTGTCCACATAAAGTGTGAATGGAACGTATGCAGACCCTGTAACCATGTGAATTAACATGCATATCTAAAAATGAGATGCTTTCTCGACTGCTGACGGTTAACAAACGTAACTTTTTCACCTACAGGTGCCCTCTGCCCCTCCTACCTACACGGGGAGGCAGCTGTGGTGAGCGAGAGGTTTGGAAAGAGGCTGTGTGATTTAAAAAGGAAAAAAAAAGGACGAGATGAAGAGGGTGAGGAGGGAGAATGAGGGGGGTCCAGGACGAAGGGCCCACCTCCCTGTCTGGCTGGACTGGACTAAAAGCACGGATGCCTACATCGACCTTTCACTCTGTGTACAGACTTTAACACTGACTGTGTGCCAATCAACTACTGTTTGAGTGTGTGTGAGATTCAGAGAGAGCAGGATATGGAGGACAGAGCTGAAGGTTTTCTAGAAGAGTGGAAATATGAAAGAAAGTAGCAAAAAAAGAAAAGAAAAAGACTGATCTGAAAATGCCGACATGCAGTATTCCTTTTTAGGTATCATTATCTCCTGTGACACTACAACATTGTAGGCATCCCTGAAAACTGTGAAATAGATTGCTTTTTCCTGCACTCTCTCTTTCTGTCAGGCAGGATGTCTTTTCTGCAGCTCCACACAATGAAGGCGTTCGAGTGGAAACATTTGGCTCTGTCCTCCATCCCTCCACACCGTAGGTGTAGACAGAGCACATGGGCAAACTGTACAAGTTGAGCAGAGCCCTCCTAAAATAACCCTGCCTCTGTAGGTGTGAATGTACAGCATATAAGAGGAAAGTGTGTGTGTGTGTGTGTGTGTGTGTATGTGTGTGGTCCCTATAACACTCCAGCAAACCTTTCCTCTCCAGACTGTTACCCCCCACCCGACAACTCTCAACACCCCAGACCTGTCTCCTCCCTCTCTCTCACCTCTGTTAGGGTTAGGGTTGCGATCAGAACCATCTGTGAATAAAACACATAACTCTTCTCACCTTCCGCCATCCTCCCACCTGCATGGACACTTTGCAAACACAAACTCTGAAGCCTGAACTGTGACTGGAAAGGAAGTTTCCCCAATGACCACAGCTGCACCTGAACAGCGCTGCCCACAAACCGCTTTTAGATGTACGATAAAGCAGAGCGGATTATGATTGGACAAAGGGAACGTCAGTCATGACCGGGCGAGGGGGTGGGGGGGAGAGGCGCCGCTTAATGAATCGAGGTCAGACTGCTGTACACACCCACATCTCCAGAGCCACTGGCGTTTTGAAGCAGCCAGGAGAAACTGTCACTTTATATCAGCAAGAAACGGAGCGAGGAAATGAAATGGTCTCCCGTTCTCGGTTCCTGTATTTGTGTTTGTGTGTGCGTACGTGAGTGTTGTGATTTCACGAGTGTCGACAGGGGAGAAAAAAAAAGAAATCGAAGTCCAGGTACATTTCTGGTGCTAAATATTCCTCGACCCTCCAGTGAGGCACGGAACTACAAAAACAACACTTATATTGATACAGTAGTCAAGCTGTGAGTGACAAGACTATATTTAGAGCTGTGGCTGGTGTTTGGAGATATCCTAGAGCCTCAGAAAGATCAGATTAACAGTGCAAGGTAGAAAGAGGGGGATCAAATGGAAAAGGAGGAGGAGGAGGGTGGCGGTGAGTAGGAATGAGATAGCACGAGACGGGCCCAAAGGGAAGTCTGTGTGACAGTGAAATCTCTGAGACTTCCTTCACTCAGCCTCCAATCTGTATGAGAAAATGGCTCCCACGTCTGTCCGTTTGTATCCATGTTCCTCTTCTCTATGTCGTTGTCTTCATTTCTGTTTTCTTTTTTTCTGGTGGAGCGTCTCTTCCTCCTCCTTCCTCTCCTCCTCCAGACTCTTTCTGTGGACAGCTATAGCTCAAGTCTCTGTGCCAAGAAGGACTCTTGTTTCACTGGAGTCTCTGTTTCACGCCCTTTCCCTTCATCATGGCACCAGCTCTCTCTTTCACCCGAGGAGCTGTGTACATAGTAGTGCTGTAAAGCTTTGCTTGCTTGTTTACCTTTTTTCCCCCCTTTTTTTTTAACTGTAGGCTGAGTTTAGATATCAGTGATTCATTGGAGAACTGACTGACCACTGCAAACTGATTTTATCTTCTTTTTTTAACTGGTTTGCTTTGTGTTTATACATTTGCCTGTTTGTTACATTATGCTTTTATTTTTTAAACTATAGCATTTTGGAAATGTTTCGCCAACACTAGATGTGCTTTTATTTTATTTCATTTTGAATTTTTTTGTTTGTTTGATTAAGGAAAAAATGTGAGTTGTCAATTATCAGGATTTATGTTGGTTGTACCTCCCACACTTTGTTGTTACGGGGATGCAAACGTGATTATGTTCAAATTTTCAAAAAGACAACAATGCCTATTGATAATTTTGCCACTTCATGCAGTAAATCATGACTTAGTCTGTGATATATTAGGGATAGCTATAAAAAAAAAGAAAATGCAAAGCAGGCAGGGCTCAAGCCCACCAATAGTCAGTGCGCTGGCCCCTGATCTTACTAAGAAAAGACAAGGGGTCAATCCTTGACTACTGCTGTATGTTTATGTCTTACACACTGGCTATTCTAAAATAGGACTGCTACTTGCAGGCCAGCTTCATGCCCAAAGACAGCTTGTCCTGTTATACCAGGCTCTGTTTGGGCAGGCCTGGTCTGAAACAGGCTACAAGCCTCATATCCATGCAAGAAGAACTGTCCTCAGGGTTTTAGATGGTCAGCAGCAAAGAAACAAAGCTCCTGAGTATCAGCACTCAGAGCTGAGGGGGAGGGAGGTTTTAATTCTTGTGATGTTTTCACTCTATGTGGAGTACATAAAAAAAAAAAGAATAACATGATGTGACTTTGTAGACTTTGCACTCGTCAACTACCTATCTGTGCATGCTTATCACCATTTCTACATATATGACCTTTCTCAGACCTACTTTTGAATACTAACTATTTATGTAAAAGGTCATGTGGCAACAATCATACTTTCAGTGTATATCAGATGACACACTTAATGTCTGTGCGAGCTGGTTCTTGAGAAACAAAGGGAAATGGTCCAAAGCAGTATGATTCCCCAAAAGGAACAAAATGCCATCATCACTGGACCTAATAATAACTTCCTCTGTTAGTTTAAAGAGTTGAGGGTAAAAAAAAAAAGTACAAAAAAAGGAGAATCGTCCGACTGATATTGTCTGTGTTTAAAATCAAATAGACTGTGGTGAGATTTTGCACACAACTTCTATGTTAAGTTTGTCGTCCCTGGGTAGCCCATTTGAAAACCCTTACTCCCTGGGGTTGACATGTCCTTGCCTGTACTCTCCTGATTTGTCTTGCCTTCAGACTGCTCCAGTGGGGCAGCTGACAGGGGTAATATTGGTTTTCACAGCTATGACTGTGCAGTGACGCAGCATGCCTATGTATAGAACTTGATTCCCCTGGTTAGAAAAAGACAAAAAAAACCCCAACAGTTAACTCTCTTGTTTCTGTAACCAATTCAGGACAAAAAAAGTTAAATAAAGGTGTCATATTTGTAGTTAACTTTTAATTGGATGTTGTGTTTTTTTCCTGATGACACATGGTAACAATAACAGCCAGGTATTATGGAAGAATAAAAAACTGCATGTGCTTTTCCCATTTTTGTCAAACCTTCGCAACGTTTCTGTCCATACAGATAAACCATTGAGTCATTGAATGTTTTTGCTTCTCATTCTGTAACCTAAAGCAGTTGGTTAGCCTAGCTTAGCTTAGCACAAACATGCGCAAAAAGGATGAAACCATTAGCCTGAACAAAAACGTATTCATGTGAAGTAATTTAATGAGATGCAACATGTTCAATTGTAAGCTTTAAGCATGTTTTTTGTTACCTTTGAACATGGACAGGCTAGCATAAAGAATTAGCATAGTCTTTATGCTAATTAAGCTAGTAGGCATACAGATTCCATCTTTAACAGATAAACTACCCAATCAGACTCTTGACAAAAAATGTTCACTAATATCTGTAGCAAATTCTTGAATCACCCCTTGAATTCTTTACATTTTGCTTCCAGGAAGCTACTTTCTTGTAATATTTTAAAATTGTCTTGAGCAATAATTCTCCAAGTTCTTCTTTGGACACTGGTTGGTTTTTCACTCATTTAGTCCAGTCCTTGTACCTAACCATTTTCAGAGGAATTTTTTTGTTGTTGTTTGTTTTTGTTTGTTAAGCTACTTAACTCAACCTACAAGTAATTAAGCATTACAAAAGGCACCTAACTCAAAGGATGAACCAGAGGTTTGTCTATACATAACAGACAACTTCACAAAGAATTATTTTACAATTTCTTTAGGCATCTTTAGGCACTTTGTTACTATTGCAAAAACACATAATTAGTTTAAATTTCTTTACTTGAATCTAGAAAAAATGCAAAGACAACACAGTTTGACTGGCATAAAATATCAACCAACAAGGTGACTTACAAAGAGCTGTTAGCTGAACATTTGGCATATCCCAGTAGTTTGTAGTGTGTCCTCAAAAAAAATGAGAAAACTGGAGTGGATAGGAAAAAATCCAGCAAAGACCTCACATGTGAGCAATGCATCTGACCCTTGATCCATCTACCATTCACCAAAGCCTCATCAGAAAAATAAAGTTCCATCAGATTTTGAGCTACAAAAATCTGCTATGCTATGTGGAAAGCATCTGATTGGCAGCAGCTACATTTTTTAGCATGACAATGATCCCAAACACAATGCCAGTGCAGTAAAACCATACAAATAGAAAAGCATTGTGGAACACAGTCCGTCATGGATTAGCCTCTCCAGAACAACTTTGTTGAAGCAGTGTGGGGTCATCTTCACAGAGATGATTCTTCAATGTGTTGAAGAATAAAGGGGGTTTTATAAAACACTGACTTTCATGCTCACCCCTATCCTGCACAGATTTCAATAAAATCATAGAATCTACTTCCCATTTTCCCAGCAAAATATAAAGAAATGAGGGGTGGCTCAAGTCTTTTGCACAGTATTGCATTTTCATAAATGCCTACTTTGTACTTTGATGATAAAGATGGAATTATGAGCCTGTAGTTTAACTTTGGGCTACATGTTCTGGGTATTTGTCTGTCTGACATAGGCTTCTTTAATACATTCATTGCATTCATAAGATCTTTTTGTTTTTACATTTTAAATGTGTAAACAAAGTTTTAACTAACACATCAGCCTGGAATCACAACCCAGAACCAGTTGTTATCTGTCTATGCTCTGACAGCTTGATGCCGACACTACCTTCTGCTGCTGTGTGATCGGGTTTCAGTCGGGTACAGTTCTGCCAGACTTCATGGAGCTGGCTCCTCTATCAGATGTCCCCAGAATTAAATGGGCCGTTTTATCTCCTCACCCAGTGGCAGCTGTCTTCCAGGCATCCACATACCTGCAAAGGGAGATACATGACCCTCCCCATGACTCACTCTGAGGTGGTATGCTTCACTTGGTCAAGAAGCAGTTCATCATGAAACAGAAGATCAACCATCAGTACCCTCTCAGGTACGCTGGGTTTGTGGCGAGATGGAAAAATGCCAGGAGTGCACTTTATTCTTTCACTTTAATTGACACCCACAGTCAAGAGAAAACAGCTATAACCCGGACAGTCTTACAGGAAGAAGAACTGTAGAGTCACTTGAGCAGCAGTCTTTTAATTTTTGCAAATCAAATTTCATGATTTCTGAGGCTGATTCAAGATAAATATTTGAATGCCAACAGCTAGAAAAACAAACAGCTGAAGGTGGCAGACTCAATGGGGATGATGCAAAATGTGCGCCTATTCGACACATTAGGCAGAAGACCAAAACAGCAGTAGGAAAATACTCCTACTAAGTAAGAATAAACAAAAGTTAAATACACCTCATACATCTATTTTTATGGCGTTATTTCATGTTGTGCGTGTAATGAGTAGCCAAGCCATCCCATGTTTCTGTGGCAGAAATGTTAAGTGACTTACTGATTAACAGGGTTTTATTTTTTAATCTCCTCAGCTGTGTTATTATATAACTATACATATATATGCACATATTCTCATATGTATTGTTATACAGGGCAAATTTACTTTAACCCTTTAATGTAATAAAAATCTAAGCATAATATTAGAGATTATTGTTTTTTTGTCAGATAGTTGCCAAATACAAACCAGTGATCTAAGTGATGTTTTTCCAATTCTCTTTTATTCTCAGCTGTCTGACATGTCATTTCCTTTCCTGATAAACAGGATATAAAGCGGTGTGCCGTGTGCCAAGCCACCTTTGACTCTGGCCTCAATTTCTGGCTTGAATGGAAATGCTATGACCTCTTTTGTGGAGTGATGTCTATTGCTAAGGAAAGAGGAAAGGACAGATCAAGGAAATATGGTTATCTTCCACTGAGCTGTCATCCAGAGGTGCGGAGAGAGAAATTATGACGCCCGTTACAAGAGGTTTCACTCCTGACAGTATAATATGTGAACCGTGCTATATGGTGTTCATTGGCTGGGTGAGACTCGTGAAGGGAAGTGATCCATCAAAAAGGCAATGAAAGCAATAAACTAATTAGACACGGATCTCAGACCATAAATCCTGGCCTGGCCATATCAAATTGGTTACAGGCATCTTTTTTATTCTTTTCTTTTTTTTCCTTAAACAGGGCTTGTTTGACTGATCACTTTAGGTCAATTTGACATCAGCCTAACAGAGTTTAATAGTGTTTAAACAGCAGAAAAAAAGCTTTTACACAAGGCTAATGATTCCAGTTACCAAGTCCCACCAGGGTAGCTCAGGTTGTGAGTTCCTAGTAGCGATGGAGACCCTGCGATTAGTTTGTTGGACACAGACAGGAAATTAGTCAGACATGTAGAGGCTACTTCTTCCTTGACGTGCAGGCTGGGTCTGAGCCACTCACCAGGCTGTGGGCTCATATGGGTGGTGGGTGTGTGGACCGCGGTGCTCTGGGGAGTGGGGGAAACCACCTGGATGGACACATTGTTTCCAGGCTGGGGGCTTTCTGGAAGATCTGTCATAGCCGAACCCACTGGAGACAAACAAGAGATGTTCGGATATGTTTTCCAGGCAAAAAAGATCCTTACAATCTTTTAGGAATTTGACAGATTAGCTCATTTAAATAACAGGTTAAAAAATCTTGAATGTGTTAACCTTTAAAGAATTTAGCAGAATTATCTGTTCCTTGCATAAAGGTTTTAATGATATCAAGTGAGTTCTTTTCAAGTGCAGTTTTTTAAGCAGAATAACTTGAAAAATTATGAACAGAACACGACTGAGACAAGTGCTGACACTTTCTCACTTTCACAGCTACAACGCTACTCTGGTTGCCTCTGCTGCTACTATTGTTGTTATCAGTCAGTAAAGAGTGACAGCTTTGACACTGTTAAAGTAAGCATATCTATGAAAAACAAAAGCCGGTATCACTTTATAACAAATAATGCTATGAAGCATTATTAACGTATTAGTAAGGTATGTGTAGTTGCTTAATTTATCATTTATATAGCATTACTACTCTTCAGTATGCCATTTATAAATATAGATATATCATTATGACTAAAATTAGGATAATTACTAGCAGTGATAGCTGTACACAGTGTAAGAGTAACAGATGGATAAACACATCTGTATTTATAAATGTCAAACTAAGGAGGACTAATGATATATAAATGATGAATTAAGCACTCGCTAATACCTTACTAATGCCTAATAGTATGACATTATTATCAAGTGCTACCCAAGAGGCTGTCATGGAGTGCAAAATACGGTATCGTTTGCCCCTCACTCCAACCGGTCATGGCAGATGGCCACCCCTCCCTGAGCCTGGTTCTTCCTGTTAAAAGGGAGTTTTTCCTTCCCACTGTCACCAAAGAGCCTGCACATAGAGGATCATATGATTGTTGGGGTTTTCTCTGTAGTATTATTGTAGGGTCTACCTTACAATATAAAGTGCTTTGAGGTGCTTTGAGGTGACACTGTGATTCGGTGCTGTATAAATAAAATGGAATTGAATTGAACTGCTTTATTTACAAGCTAATTATTGAAAAAGTGTGATGGAATTGCGGTTTTGGAAAAAAAATAACTTTTTTTTTTTTTTTTTAAGATTTCAAAGTGCATCTGTACATATAGAGAATCCAAATATGCAGTGATGGAGCCCTTCAGTATTTTTTTGTTTTATCATCTGAGAATCATTTCCCTGATTCAGATCCCATGACTTATCTTTTAAAAAGCTGTAGTTTGGCATGGGGGGTGAAGAAAACCAAACCAAACAAAACAAAACAAGGGAGAAGGCCAAAACAATTAACAGATTTCTGTTGCTACTTCATTTCATGTTGATCTATTCAAAACAATGTCACCAACCACATGATGTCACAAGCTGTTTTAACAGGGCTTAAACTGACGGTAAACAAGCACCAGTCAAGGACAGTCGAGGTGATTTATGAACTGCTGAGAGCTGCACCTGTCTAGTGCGATGTGACCTTTTGACATATCAGTGTGTGCATGTTCTTTGCTCTTTGCCTCATTGTTTTTCTCTCCATCTCTGACTAATTCTGATTTCAGACTATGAAGCGGCAGAGGAGGTATTGTACGCCGGCTTTCTCGGGTCAAATGAGAGGAGCACAGCTGTTGTGGGACTTAAAGAATGAGCGTACAGTTGGGAGGGGAGCTTCCCTAAATAATTTCTCGCTCTCTTTTTAACTCTGCAAGTGCACCAAACATGGGTCATTTATGTGTCACAGTGCAGGAAGGCGACTTCTATAACATCCAAAAAAAACAAAAACAGAAGAAGCCGGCAAACAAACTGCAACTTCTGTCACTTTCTGTCTTTCTTGTTCTCTCCTATTTTCATCCATTGTAGACTCAGTTGAAGAGGTTGGAAAATGGTTTCCATGCAGACTGACAGTCTGGACAGACGCTCATGCACTCTCTTACGCATGCACACCCATCCCCAGGCCCCCAGCTAGAATGTCAGGTCAGCAGTAGCAGCAGCGGCGGCGGTTAGCAGTGGCAGTGTGGCATGGCTGTCACACGCCCGTGGAAGAATGTTCGTCGGCCGCAGAGAGCGCCTTTGTTGTGTGGAATGCGTCTGTGGAAACAACCTGTGCTCATGATGCCACTGTTCTTTGTTTCTGAGCGACAAAAACTGAAACACTACCATGACTAGCGTTATTAGAGGGTGCGTGTGTTTATCATGACACACCGCCACACCCCCGTCAGATGGGCTGAAGCACGCCTCAGTGTGTGAATGCTCCTGTATCTGGGTTAAATGCGAAGAGCAGAATAGATTAAATATAGATGTAATTGCTTCTTGAGGGTTTCTTTTTTAAAAACTATTTTCGTATATTATTATCATTATTATCATATATTATTATTTTACAAAGCTTACATCTGGCGGTTATTTTTATCCTCCCATCTATAAAAAGTTCACCACAAAGTGCAGTAAATTATCAGGCAATTACACAGATTAGAGCACCAAACAGAGTAAAATGTAGAGATTGTAATTATTTATGGATTCATTCAAGAAGACAATTCCCAGTATTGCTCCAAACAGTGTGATGTTGACACACATCCATCCCTATTTATTTGTGGGTAGAAGATGAGTGTTGCCTCGTTGAATATATCAGTTCCCTAAGGGGGAGACAATACGACAACATTACTGTTGAGCTGTCTGCTGTAAGCACGGTGTAATCGGATTTCTTTCCTACTGTGTCATTAGTCCTATTGTGCATGTAGGAGTTGCACCTTCTGTATCCTTATTATCGAAATGTTTGAAATCATTTACGTGGACCCGCTGGAAAAGTAGACAGCTGCAACAATGCAAAGTAGAGAGAAGCTTCTTTTAGTCATCTTTTGTTCTTTGCCATGTGTTTTGATTTTTCTGTCCACTTGCTAACTCGTTGTGATGCACCATGATGGTACAGCGTTCCAGCAGGCGCGTGGAAAAATAAATACAATGTCCCTAAAAAAAGACCAAGAATCTACCCCCGCTAGCTGCACAAAGACAGACAACTATTCGCACACATTCAATCTGGAAGCGCCAATTAACCTAACTGCACTAAGTGTGTATGTCCTTGAGTGTGGGAATAAGCTAGAGTACCCAGAGATAACCCACAAAGACACAGGCAGAACATGCAACTCTGCATGCAACACCCCAACCAGATTGCAGATTCAAACCAAGAACCTTTTTGCTGTGAGGCTAGAATTCTGATCATTGTGCCACCATTGCTGCTCTGCTGTTTGATGCATATTCAAAAAAATGTGACTTGATTTGCATTTTTAGTAACTTCTGGAATCAGCAGGGGCAGGATGCACCTAAAGGTGTTTTTAGCTATGCTCACATGCTGAAGAAGATGAAGCGAGGACAGCAAAAGCTACACATGGATGATGGTGCATTTAGTGGTCTGCCCCCAGTTGTTTGTAAGAAAGGTCTGGGTCTGCACTGCAGGCAGGCCATGTTTCTTCTACTACAGTGCTGGCACAGTGCTGTTATAGAGGCAGTATGTGGTTTGGCATTGTTTTGCTGAAATATGCAATGGGAGAATGTGTTGCTCTAAAACCTGTATATACCGTTTAGTATTGATGGTGCCTTTCCAAATGTGCCAGCTGCCAATTCCATACACACTGATGGGACCCCCATGCCATCAGAGATGCAGGTTTTTGAACTTAGCACTGGTCTTAAGCCGGGTGGTCCCTCTCATCTTTAGTTCACGGGATGCGCTGTCCATGTTCCAAAATAAATGTCCAATTTCAGTTTGTCTGACCACAGAGCAGTTTTCCATTTTTTCTCAGTCCATTTTAAATGAGCTTTGGTCCAAAGATGACAGCAGCATTGTTGGGTCATGTTCATATGTGGCTTCCTTTTTTGATGATGGAGCTTTAATGTTTCTTTCATGTCCATCAAAGAATCATGCCTGTTTTTAATGCCTGGGTGACCTGAAGATCACAGGCATCCAATGCTGGTTTTCAGCCTTGTCCCTTGTACACAGAGATTTCTCTTGATTGAAGTCTTTACAATTTTACATTTAGGAACATTATTCTAAAATTGGTCCACAATTTGTAGAAACAGTTTTTGGTGAACCTCTGCCCAACTTTACTTCTGAGAACCTCTGCCTCTCTAATATGTTCTTTTTAGACCCACTCCTGTTACTGACCTGCTGCCAATTAACCTAATTAGTTGCAAAATGTTCCTCCAGCTGTTTTTGTTTAGCACCGCTTACTTTTCCAGTCTTTTTTCCCCGACATCGCCAATTTTTTAAGATGTGTTGCTGTCATGAAATTCAAAATGAGCTAAGATTTACTTAACATGGTACATGTTATACCTCATAGGAATGTTAGTAGGTTACTCTGCAACCATCCTGACATTTCAGTCTATGTCCTGTCAAAAAAAATACAGCATTAAAATTTGAAATAAACACTCGACCATATCATCTATTTAAAATGACTTTTTGATAAAGGAGTTGTTGTTTGAGTCCACTGTATACTTAGTTTGTTTTGGTATCAAATTGGGTATCTGTATTGGTATTGTGGCATCCTCATTGGTGACTATATCAGTGAATTCAGCTCAGTATGCTAATTTGTACAAACCACAAAGATGATAAGAATTTCATTATACTAGCCAAAGGTATCAAGGGTATGGTGATGTTAGAAAAAAAAAAGTTGGAGGTTCTCCAAAGTTCTTTGGCTTCTTATGAAGCCCCCACAGATAATTCTGTTTGTGTGCTTTTTTTTTTCTATTCTTTATTACAAATAAATTTCTTTAGCTGAACTTTGCAACAGTCGTGTTTTTTTCCCTGCAAGCCTACTTGGATTTAAGAAAGTGCTTGTACAGTGTACCACTCTGTTCTTATGCAAGCTTCCAAAGACAACGTGTAGTCATCATCCTTTAACTCTAATGCTTGTCAGTCACAGTGGACATGGGTCTGCATTCTCAGCTGCTCTTCCCTGTCCTTCATATGTGCACAGTGCACACACAGACACACACACTCGCCACAGGCAAAGACGTACACATCACTTTACCCTCGTCTCAGACTTCATCCCCTTCCCCTCTACACTCTGTTACTCCGCTCTTTCCACACATGAATCCCCCCCCCCCCCATCATCTGCCGTCGCTGTCACACAAGCATAGCCTGAGCCCTCAAGACATTTTCTTTCTCTTTTTCATTTGCAATCTTCTCTCTCAATTACTTACTTTCTCCCCATGTCTGCTTCTCTTTCTCCGTCACTGCCCTCATTCTCTCTGTGTGTCACCGCTCCCAGAATCCTCGTCTTTCAGCTTTAAAAATCAAAGCCCTGTTGGCGTGAATATCTCTGCAGCCGTTTATATGTGTGAAACTCTATTTGTGCACAGGCTGACACACCGCACTGTATGTGTATTTATTTTTGGAAATCTGAATATTGTATGGACTGATGTCTATGCAGTCTAGTACCTTTGTATGAATATCAGCAGCTTTTGTCAGGCACTGAAGAGAATTTGATAGTAGTAGATATAATGCTACTAGCAAGCCTGAGGGCTGGCATTCAGTGATATCATGTGCGTGTGTGTGTGTGTAAGTGTATGTGGGCTTACCTCGTTTCTCTTGTTTCGCCCAGAACTGCTTGACAGTTTTGCCAATGTCACGGGTCTCTCTCAGTTTTTTCTGCCACTGGCGCATCTCCTGAACATCTGGCTGTGCCCTGATCTATAACAATCACAGGACACGTGCAAAGGGCGCACATGCATAAATTCACATGAGCAAACATCATCAATAACTTAATTGAGCCACAAGCTAATCAGTGTTAGTAAGCTGTTAGGACTGTTTAAAGAAGGTTATTTAGAAAGTCTGTTACAGTATATGCTTTAGTTACTAACATTAAGAACATTTCCAGGGAGGGTTAAGTAAATAAATGTTCTTTTTAAATGATTATTTCATTTATTATTGGAAAAAAAATATCCAAACCTACCTGAATTTTTGTGAAAAAGCCACTCCTTAAACTAGTTGTGCCACACTTGGCAGCAAGAACTACAGTCACACTTTTGCGATAACTGGCAAAGAGTCTTTTTCACTGTGGAGGAATTTTGGCCCACTTTTCTTTACGGAATTGTTGTAATTCAGCCAAATTGGAGGGTTTTCATGAACGGCCTGTTTAAAGTCATGCCAAAGCATCTCAATCAGATTCAACTCTGGACGTTGACTAGGCCACTCCGGACATTCTACTTCAGGATTTTCTGGTATAGAGCAGAATTCATGGCTCCATCAATTGTGCCAAAACCTGCTTATGTAAGCCATTTGGTCAGATCTCCATGCAAATATGTGGTCCAGTAATACTGATTGCACTGTGGTTGAAACACATACTGAAACTTACACATCTTGCCTACACCATGCTGCAAAAATAAATGAAAACAATAAGCCAAGCAAGTGATAAAATCCTATTTCCTATTTTAAATTAAATTAATTAATTAATTTTAATGCTTTTTAAAATGTTAGGCCTTACTATGAGATTAATGAAGAGCTTCTAAGGATTCACAGGAACCCTGATTCAGCCTAATCCAGGCTGTATGAATTATGCTTCTGTTCTTGGATGAAACTACTGCAGCTGTTGTTTTTGGTTTTGTGTGTGTGTGTGTGTGTGTGTGTGTGTGTGTGTGT